CATTTCCTATCCCTGCTCCCACCAGCCACATGTCCCTTCCTGGGATCTGACGCTTCAAGGCCCCACCAACCTCTACAGATTAAAATAATAATAATAATTAAAAAATAGGGGAAGCAAAGTCAAACCTAGCCTCAACCCGATAACAGACTTGAGATCTAAACCCAGTGCATTTTAAATCATGCCTGCAACAGGGGAAACAGAGAAAGGAGCAACCAAGGATCATGTCAAACAGCCAAGAGTTAGTTGAGCATTTTGTTTATTTTGTGGCCAACATTACAGAACGCCTAAAAGCAGGGCATAAATGCAGTTAACACCCTGCACCTCAGTACTCCGTGATGACGTATACCCATCCTGACTAACAGCCATGGATGGTCCCAACCTCCATAAATCTGCCTAATCTAAATCCCCTTTTCAAGCTCAGCCAGTGGCAAGCACCGATTTATCTTGTGGCAGGGAATTCCACTGTTGAACACAGAGCCTTCTCAATGGCCTTTCTCTGCAAGTCATACCCCGCCACTCAGTTCTAGGTGGTGTGCGGGGGACCCTGCTAGATGGTATTCTCATGAAAGACGAGGGGGGGGGAAAGCCCTTCTTTTATATATATATTAAAGAAAACACCCCCCCCAAATGAAAAATCAAGATCTTGTGGCACCTAAAGACTAAGAGGTTTATTTCCATGCAAGCTTTCATGGATTAGAACCCACCTCTTCAGACACATGAGTTTTATACACAATACAGTACTCGTGGTCAGGTTTATATCCATTAACTATGTTGTATGTAAACCAGCAGCTGAATATTTCACTCTGTGCAAAGGTGGGATGTGGGCCGCAGCCCTCTTTACAATGAAATAAATATATTAGTCCTTAAAGTACAAGAACTCTTCATATTGGATGTCAAGTGAGTAGTGTTTACCACGAATTGATGTGGCAATTTTAAAGTTTAATAAACAAATACATTTGTTATTTTTGCTTTTGTCGTACATTCCCTCTGTCTACTTTCTCCACCCCTTTCATTGTTTTACATGCCTTTAAAAAAAGGGAGGATGCTCAGTGAATATCAAAGTAGTCTTGCCTGAAGATAATTAGGGAACAGATCTACCTATATGTCCATTAAACAGACTTTGCCAAAACCAGGCTAGCCATTCTCAATGGGAGCCCTCTGCCCCCCACCCACCCCCCGAGGGGGGGTCCTGGCCCATTCGAAGGGAGCCATAGACTGGAAACAATTCTTCACACACCACCTCCAATTATGTGACTCACACAGTCCTGATCCAGCCTGTGTGTTCCTTCCTGCTGCGTTTATCCCCACCCCCCCGAGGGGGGTCCTGGCCCATTCAAAGTGACTCACACAATCCTGATTCAGCCTGTGTGTTCCTTCCTGCTGCGTTTAGAGCCCTCTGCCCCCCACCCACCCCCCGAGGGGGGGTCCTGGCCCATTCGAAGGGAGCCATAGACTGGAAACAATTCTTCACACACCACCTCCAATTATGTGACTCACACAGTCCTGATCCAGCCTGTGTGTTCCTTCC